TAATGACAACGTCGAGGGAGGCGGGTAGCTCTCTCTAAAATCGTGTTATTAAAATAGGACGGTTGATGATACGTTTCGGATCGTAGTCCCGCCTGCCTGGCAGTGCCATCAGCCTCGACAGTCAGCTCTTGTCGCACTTTGGCATGCGTCAGCGACGTATGAAACTTTCGTAAGCGTGGCGCAAAAGTGCGACCACGCGCTTTTACTTTGCCACTCAAACTAAATTCTACTTGTAAATATGATTTTAACTCGACGAGAAAGGGCCCGAGAACTTTCGACGCTTGAGAACGTGACGTGACATGGGTCACGTTTTGAATATTGCTAGTTTGTTCGCCTGTAAACGAACCCTGTAACGAACATTGATGGCAAATTTTCATTAAATTATCGGGTGTCGCCGGTGGGATTTTAACATTGTCGATCGCGGCCAATTTAGGACGGTTCGGCGTGTCCTGGCTTCCATTCCGGAAAGCGACGCGAAACAGTTAGGATCGACCTGTCACCATTGGTTTTCATGTTCGGATGATTTCGCGGGCGTGGAGGGTCGACATATTGGCCGAGAGTGCGGGAGAGACGACGTCTGGCGTCGAATGAGAGACGGGCGTCGTGTTGAAAGCAGACGGCCGAGTGACGAGACGCCAGAACGACTTCTCTCGGTACCGGAGACGGGATGTCGTCTCCGATTACAACGGAGTCCTCCGAAATTCCAAGAGAGAAATCACGTCGCGGAAAGTACGCCACACCGACGTCATTCCCGGGTACATAATAGCATTAGTATATCGGCGGCGACAAGGATATTTTCAATAGAGAACTACACCCATATTCGTTTCGATCGATCCTAAACGGATAAAGGAGACTAATTGACGTGATCAAAAAATTTGAAAATAAAAAATAATATTACGGCGAGATTTGGGAAAAATATTATAACAATATATATAATATATGATATACTTATAATAATAATTATTAGAAAAAATATATTTTCGAACGTACCATTTGCTGATAATTAAGTAAAAAGAAAGTAATTTATCGCGTGTAATATCAATATCAATTTTTGTGCTCTACTGGCCAAAACTATTTATCTAACCTAGATAGAACTTTCGATAGTTAATGAGTTTCCACAAAGTGATACATCCATCAGCTTCGCGTACACAGCGAAATTTACTCAGGGGCAATAAGCGGGACACCATTTTTATTATTTCACGTGGAGCAACATTGAATCACGACAAAAAAACCGTGACGTCCGCGTGTTTTCACATTCTCTGCGACACATGTGCACAATATACATCATGCTTCCACCATTTCGCCGCGCGATCTCGCATCGCGCGACGCGGTTAACGAAATATTCTCGGCGAACAGACATTAACAGCTGCTTTTTTTTTTGGCGGACGAGGGAGGGGGACGAGGGAGGAGCCGGTGGCGGTTGGAGGTTTTTTTACAGAACGCGGGCCTTTAAAGTCGGTGCGGCGCAACGTTGAAATTACCGTCGACGGCCGCAGGGGCCGAAGGGGAACAGCGCGGGCCAAGTGAGGCGGTGGGTTTTTGAAATATGACAAACGCACGTGCGTTGTCCATGGGTAAATTTTGTTTATACGGTGAGTTGTGCGCGAATATTCCCGACGCGTCGACGCAATGTCGGGCCTTTGATGAGGAGAGACGAGCCGTGCAAGAGATACGCCCGCCGCGCGCCGTAATATACGTCTGTGTGCGCGCGATGCAAGACGCAATTGCGCGTAGAACATACAGAACACGGGGTATCCAAATCATGACACGCGCACGCGGCCGTATATGACGTACGATTAACCTGGCAATAACGGCGCAGTGTCATCGAGGGCTCGTGAGAAGCTTTAATGAGGAACTGGCACTGGAGTGGTCTCGAGGCTTCTGAGGCTCGCGATATCCGGAACGTTAACTCGCGTGCGTCGCCTGTGTTTTATACCCACACTGGAATGTCTCTTCCTCCCTGCCCCGGCGGATTTTCGGACTCAATTTATTTCTATCAGAGCGACGAAAAGAATTTAAACACATTGCAAATATGCGTGGCGTAGATAATCCACGCGTGGCGCAAAAGAACGCGCGCGTGTACATGTATCAAAGATAAAACAATAGTTACACGCACACGTACGCGCGGCAGCGCCGATGTGGCGAGCGGTGCGATATGCGACGTATTCCAACGCGGAAATAATACATATGCGTAGAGTCGTGCGCGGCGTACATTTGAGGGTGCCGGAGAGAGAGAGAGAGAGAGAGAGAGAGAGAGAGAGAGAGAGAGAGAGAGAGAGAGAGAGAGAGAGAGAGAGAGAGAGAGAGAGAGAGAGAGAGAGAGAGAGAGAGAGTAGAGAGAGAG